TTGTTTATTACATACCAGCTATTGTGCTCGGCACTTTTTATGAATTAATTTAGTTTACAAATGATTCTGTGCTTATTTATTATCTCATTTGATGTTATAAAATTATAGTAGAGGAAATCCAATCACACATTTTATTTCTGCCACTCCTTGTGGAAACTAGCCATGCCGTGTATTCATCCCTTCAACTGGGGGACTTTTTGTCTTTTCAAAGAGATCGTAAGTTCTTGGAAGGCAGGTGCCATGCCTTGAATATGGTTTCTCTGCCCCTTAGAGAAGCTCATCTTAGTTCTGTGCATATAGTAAATACTTAAATAAAAACATCTTTGAAATGTTCTAAAAGTCACTATTTAAGATACGTTCATAGAAAGGGTAGAATAAGGATTAAGGATCAAAAGCAAGAACCTGCAATCCTTGATTTAATCATTTGCTATTTATCAAGGCTGCTTATATTGTGTCTTAAATATGTCTGTGTATCATACATATTTTTTAAGATTACTTCCCTTTACTGCCTTTACAACAGCAGTCACTGTGGTTAGCATAACTGGCATTTCTCTTTGCCGATTTGATTCGTTTTAAATATTTTTATTCTCCTTTTCTTATGAAACCAAGATCCATAATCTTTTTTTGGCTTTTTTGTTCTTCATATTGTTTCCCAAAGTATGTTGTTCAGAACACGAATCTCATTAGATATCTCTCAAGAATGGATCCTATAATCAAATATGCTTTGAAAATGCTGCATGCAGTAGGCATGTAAGAGGTTCACAGTGTATATTAGAATAATAAAATCTATGCATGTATATAAGAATAATAAAATTTCTAAGCTCTGAAGTGAAGAAACATTAAATTTTGCCTTAAGTGTTTTCTAACATTTTTTGATCTTAGATCACACTCCTCTCCCCCATATCTAGAGATGATACTTAAAATATTTAACAGCTAGTGCACTGGCTCAACAGCCAGCCTGCTGCTCAGCTGTCTGTCTTTCTCCTGCTCTTTCGGAGCCCACGTACCTAGGAGACTGAATTTCCCGCATTTGACCACGCAGGCATAACTAGAAGCACGTGTTAGCTGTGAAGGGGAGTTTGCAGACGGGCACTGGGAATTGCCTCCCAGGGTGCAGTGCCTCCTCCAAGGCCACTGTCTCCTCCACTGGGGCTCAGGCTGACTGGAGTAGGCAGTGGCCATTCAGAACAGGTGCTGGAGCAAGTTTCTTGGGGACCTCTGCTGTGCCAGCCCTCAATCTTTCGGTTGCTGGGACTGTGAGGGATCTGGGAGTTCTCCAAGAAGAGACCATGGTGGTGAAGCTGGTGGAAGTAGCTATTCTGTGAACTTGGTGCAGTAACTGTTTGCCAACTGGTTTGCCAATATTGAGTATTTTCACTCCTGTGTCATTGTACCAGTGTATCCCAGCTGTTTGTTAGTTTTACCTATGATACTTGTCAACACTCTAATTCTAGTTCTGTGGGACAACCATGGAGAATTGCCAGTCTGTGCCATTTGGGGTGTATGGAAATACATCATTTTTTTCTTCTTTCTATCAATTATTATAATACCATAATGTTTAAACATTTAGTTCTGCTGGAATTGAGAATTAACAAATTTCGATTCACTTTTTGAGCTTTGGAAAATCAAGGGGCAAAAAATGGCACAAAAAGTAATGGAAGATACCTGAAGTATCTGGATTGGTGATGTTATAATAAGAGAAAAATGCCCAATAACATATTGTAAGCTATCTGAAAAAGAAGTTGTTAATGTAAATCTGAAATAGTCACTACATTATCATCTTGTCATATTGGGATTTCAGTTAAATACACACACACACACACACACACACACACACACACACACACACACACAGGGTTTGCCCTTGTAGTATGTTTTTGGGTTTTTTTTTGTGGTACACGGGACTCTCACTGTTGTGGCCTCTCCCGTTGCGGAGCACAGGCTCCGGATGCGCAGGCTCAGTGGCCATGGCTCACGGGCCCTGCCAATCCGTGGCACGTGGGATCTTCCCGGACCGGGGCACGAACCCGCGTCCCCTGCATCGGCAGGCAGACTCTCAACCACTGCGCCACCAGGGAAAGCCTGTAGTATGTTTTTTGAATGTAAAAATATTCGTTGAGTAGCTCAGAGATCAAGTTGATAGAAATTATAAGAAACTAATTATCATGCTTTTATAGACTGATCCCTACCTCTCTGGCCTCCTTCCCATTATCCCACTAGAAAAATTGAACTGTTCTCTCATCTCCAACATAGTCCTATTGATTTCCACCTATCACTAGGCAAAATTTATTAATGTAGAGGTATTTGTACATTTCATCCTCCTCCCATCACTGCCCCCCATAGATTTTGAATCTGGGTTTTTTGTCCTTGAACTTGTGAGTATTGTTCAGAATACTAAATAGAAAAAGTTATCCAGTAAAAGGAGTTAGAGAAAGACTAGTGAAATTTTGGAGACAAGCAAGTCTTAATAAGAAGAGAAAGTAGACCCAGTAAGGCCAGGGTAAGAGTGGGAAAAAATAGTCAAACACCAAGATTAGACTGAGTAAGGGAAGAAAGTCTCAGATATTTCTTAGAAAGTAGGGGGGATTTTCACATCAAGATGAGTTTGAGGAGAAAAAAGTAAATATGGAAGGAGAATTTAAAGAAGTTTGTTGTGGTTCATGGATAAGATCTTCTGTGAAGAGTTTGGGATTATTCTTCAAATATTCTTGGCTATCAAGCCAGCGTTTGTTCAGTTCGGCTAGAGCACAGACTGGTCCTGAGGAAATCCAGTTATATATTTGGATTACACAAGGTACTTCTAGTTTTTGATGCCCTGACTACAGCTGACCCTTGAACAGCACAGGTTTGAACTGTGTGCATCCACTAATACATGGATATTTTTCAGTAGTAAATACTATAGTACTACACGATCTGTGGTTGTTTGAATCCTTGGATGCAGAACCACAGATGTGGAGAAACCACATGTATATATAGGGCTGACTGTAAGTTATAGGCTGATTTTTGACTACAGGAATATTTAGTTGGTGCCCCTAACTCCCCTGTTGTTCAAGGGTCAACTCTACATCCCTTTTCTAAAGCCCTACCGATTTTCCATTTTCAAGGTCCATAGTCCTTCCAAGAAACTTTTCATACCACTCCAATCTTCAGTGATTTGGAGTATAATCTAAATTTTATAAAGTACTGACTATTTATATTTATTTACTTATAATTTATATATATAATAATATAATGTCATTTATAATATTTATGTATTATATATATGTATATATAAATTTTTAGGGTAAAGAGATCCCTGGGTCCCCAGCCACAATAATTCTTAATTCCTTAATTCCAGGAACTTATATTTTATAGCTTTCTGTCTCCAGTGCCTGGTCCAGAGTAGGCTCTTAATATATGGTGTTGAGGTTGTTAACAGAAAATTCTTCTATTTAGTCTTTATGGTCTATGGGAATATGCAACTTCTATCAATATCAGAAATAAATTAAAATAATTACATTTTTGTGGTTTTCTAATTAAACCAACTTTATTTTCTGAGTCTTGTTAATTTTTATCTCTTTCATTACACATAACACATTACAACTTTTTTTTTTGCCTCTCAAAGCTGTTAGATTCTTGGGACTTCCCTGGTGGCACAACGGTTAAGAATCCACCTGCCAACGCAGGGGACACGGGTTTGAGCCCTGGTCTGGGAAGATCCCACATGCCGCAGAGCAACTAAACCCATGCACCACAACTGCTGAGCCTGCACTCTAGAGCCCGCGAGCCACAACTTCTGAAGCCCGTGCGCCTAGAGCGCACGCTCTGCAACAAGAGAAGCCACTGCAATGAGAAGCCCGCGTACCACAACGAAGAGTAGCCCCCGCTCGCTGCAACTAGAGAAAGCCCAAGTGCAGCAACAAAGACCCATGCAGCCAAAAATAAATAAATAAATAAAATAAAAAGCTGTTAGATTCTTGAGAGTAGGGGCATGTGTTGTATCCTGCTATGTAGCACAGGTCCTGGTCCATTTTAGAGGCTCTACAAATGTAAAGGAATGAATGAATGAATTTTCATTGGGAATCTCCTATATGTATAAAGAAGGCTGACAAGAGATTTTATATGTTTCCTTTAAATTAAAAAAAAAACAAAGCTATGGTATAATGTAAACAACACAGGGCTTAGGGCCATGATACCTAGAGTCAAATTCTAACTGGCTTCGAATAGGTCACTTAAGTTCTCTGAACCACTTTCTTCAAATACAGATAATATTTCCTACTGTACATGGTTGCAGTGTTGATCTAATAAGATGTACAATTCTGAAATATGTAATAGACTTACATAGAAGAGGTGATTAAGGCCTATTTATTCAGTCTGAATTAATAAGTTACTGACCAGCATCAAGAAGAGAGGAGAGAATCTCCAAAAAAGATAGAGTCAGTACCAAGAAGTGATATTCTCCCAACTCCAGGTGGCTTAACGCTGGAAAAGGCCACCAACTAGAATTGTGAAATTTCACTTATTATCAAGACATTTTCTTATTCTTAAATAATAGGAAAAGACTGAATGACCTTTGGAGGGACTGACCCACCATATATTCTGTGGCTCATGAGAGAAAACACAGCTTGTAGATAAATCAGGAGAACCTGCTTTTCCACTTGCCAAAGATAAAGCAGAAGTTTGGAAATGTCAAATCTAAGTAAAAGGTCTTTATTTCTTTGGTTAATTCAAGGGACACCCTCATTCTCAATCTTTGAAAATTAAACACTTTCTTTATGCAATGCACGTACCTTAAGGAGCAGTGAGAGATGGAGTTTTAATTTTTACCAATTCAATTTAAATGCAAATGTTAACCACTCACATGATGCTACTGTGTACATAATTAAGCATCATTATGTACTACATGAATCATTTAGAAACCTCTGGAGAGCCATTCTACTATGTAAAACATACATTATACTGACAAGCAGACAAATGACATATATACTTCTGTCCTCATTAATGCTCCTTTTGAATTATAGGTCAACCGATTATGGGACAACCTATGAGAAGCTGAATGATAAAGTTGGGTTGAAAACAATTTTAAGCTATCTCTACGTGTGTCCTACCAACAAGCGTAAGGTAAGAAATGTATATTCAGAATGCTATTTATTCATGATGTGACTTCTGTCTTGGCTGGCTAACCTCTCTAAACCACCTAAAAATCCAATACAGTTAAGCTTTAAGAGATATAAAGATGAGTTGATGGATGTTAAGGTGGTAAAATGTCTGACACATCATAATTTTCAGATCAGCAGCTGTGAATGTAGGAGGGAGATGGGGTAGGTATATCATTACCATTTCCAAAAGACAGCTACAGGGAATGTCTTGTTGAGTGGATGTTCAGACTCTTGTTAAGAGCTCTGACCAATCAGTGACAAGAATCAGAATGAGCCTTGACAAAACAGAAGAAAAGATGGGATTTTCATGTGATGTCCCCCTGTTTTCCCTTGACATGGAGTAAATAGATTGGCTAGAGTTGAAGTAAATGCATTGTCCTTCAGCAGGTTGGAAGTTTCATTTCGAAAGTTTATTCAGCCTGCACACAAATGTCAGAATGGAGGCAATGCTGGGAAGGAGCCTTGGTGATCATCATAAACCACATGCTAATTTTACAGATGAGAAAACTAAGGTTCAAAGAAAGGAAATGACTTGCCCCCATCACAGAGTTATGGGCACAGTTGGGACAAGATTCAGGTTTCTTGCTTGGCAGTCATACCGTTTCCACTGTATAATACTACTCTTATGAAGAGGGTTTATTTACTCTTCAGAGAAAGATGTTATTTTCTTAGGAAGAAAATGTTTGCTTTTAAAAGAGAAAGACCTATTTGTCTCAAGAGGAGAGTGGTGTTACATTCATTGTTTGGTTTTAAAAATTTGCACTATCCAATTCTGAATTCTGACATGTAATTTCTAAGTATTATGTGAGTTATATGAATAGAGATGAGTATCCATCAGGAAGCGGAAAAAGGTTTTTCATTCATGTGTCCTAAGCCATATTCTGTTATGATGGCAGCCCTGATACCTAGGTTCTCATTTCAGATCTGTCAGTGGGTACTGTTAGTGACCTTGGGTAGGTAGGTGCCGCATTTTGTCATCTGGACTGTGGAAGGTAGATTAGTACATCTCTAAACAGTCATCCTCAACTCTGGCTGTACATTCAGAGCACTAGGCTTCCCCACATACGCAAGCCTTAGCCCCACTCCTGTTGCTCTGGGTTAGGCCTCAGGGAACTGTATCTCGCGCAAGCTCCCCAGGTGCTTCTGGTACATATCTGGGATTAAGAACCACCTAGGTAGGGCGTAATGTTTCTTCCGGCTGTAAACATTTCAAGTTTTTATTTTGGAGCAGCATAATTTCCCATTGTGCATAGACTCTGGAGTCAGATGGCTTGAGTAAAAACCCAGCTAAGCCAATTAACAAGTATATAACTATGGTGATTTACTTAATCTCTCCAAGCACAGTGTCATCAAATTGAAAATGGGGATAATTATAGTACCTACCTCATGGGGAAAGTTGTAAGAACCATAAGAACTAAGGCATGTCAGGTGTTTAGCACAGAATAGTTAAGGCTTAATCATGACTTCTCTTCACTTTATTCTCCTTTTCTCATCTTCCTCCTCCTTCTTCATATAATTATTGGAAGTGAAAGTAGTGATTATCCTCTATAAGTAGCTGTGTTCAGTAGAACTTTCTACAATGATTGAAATGTTCCTCTAAGCTATCCAATACTATAGACACTAACCACTTGGGGCTATTATTTGAAGTATGGCTAGTGTGACTGAGGAACCAGATTTTACATTTCATTTCGTTTTAATTAATTTGAATGCAAATAGCCACATGTGGCTGATGGCCACAGTATTGGACAGCACAGTTCAATAATGTCAACCTCACAAATTTAGAGATTTCCCTTGAACGCTCCTATCTTCCCCTTCCCGGCCGATGACCGGTCCATCATCAACAATTACATCTAAACAATTTTGATCTGCTGTATACAGTCCTAAATTAAGGAGCTGAATTTATATCCTTTATTTTTTATAATGAGATTGAGTCATGTTTGTTGGCTTTGAATTGATTCTTGTAACCCCTATTGATTTTTCCTCTAGTTCACATTTTTAGTAAAGTTCATTTAGCAATCAACAATCTGTAGGCAGTATAGGTTACAAAAAGAAATAAGCCAGCTTTCTACCCTCAAAGATCCTGTATTCTAGTAGTAAATGCACTATGACTTTCTGTAGTTGAGAAGCCTCTGACTCTGCTTCCACCTAGCAGGTTACTTTGGGTGAGTCATTTACATTTTCCTGTTTGTAAAGTGATACAGACGAAAACAAAGGAATTTACAGCTGGAAGAGACTTAGAATTGTTCTCATCTAGTGACAGTCTCTGTTTTATTAATGCCATTAGAAAGGAATATGATTTTTAAAAATAGGATGTCAAATATTGAATGTAGGCGTAGGCTTTTCTGTAGCAGCAGAGTATGTGGTAGTGACCTGAAGACTACAACACTGTTAACAGGAGCAGGACCTGAAGAGTGAGATCTCAAGTCCAGATGTAGCTCCTAAGACTAGAAGGAAAGCTTAGATGTGACACAGAATGGAGCCCTGCCACTGAATCTATTTATGTTAATACATCAATATCAATCAAGCTGCATACTTAATCTATAGTTACCTGCAGAGATTTCAAAAAAGACATTTGGGGCTTCCCTGGTGGTGCAGTGGTTGAGAGTCCGCCTGCCGATGCAGGGGACACGGGTTCGTGCCCCGGTCTGGGAAGATCCCACATGCCGCGGAGCGGCTAGGCCCGTGAGCCATGGCCGCTGGGCCTGCGCGTCCGGAGCCTGTGCTCCGCAACGGGAGAGGCCACAACAGTGAGAGGCCCGTGTACCGCAA